GTGCCCCCATTATAGGGTCCCCACTCTCCAGCCGTCCAACCATGCTCAGCACTTAGGCCAGAGTCGGTCTTGTTTCCAAAAGAGGAAGGTTATCACCTTGAGTGGTGGTTTCCGATCACACTGGTGGGCACAAGGCCCTAACTGCAGCGAACCGTACCTGTCACCCACTCCCTATGGTTATCTCACTTGCCTCCGGGTATAGGAGGAACTGTAGTGTGCAAGGGTTTTGTGTGCAATTTGTATATCAATCAATTGCGTAAACATAAACAAACAACAGTTTATTGAAAGCCAAACAATAAAACATGTTATAATACAAGGCAGGGTAAAAACGCTATTTTCTTGGTTTAATTATTTTTAAGCCGACCCATCACTAAATGGGATCAACTCTCTAGGCTTCCCCAGTGGAGTCGCCATCTGTCACCGCCGTCGAAAAGAGGCGGTCGGAGCGACGCGATGATTTTTCGACCCTCTTGATTTTCGCGTTTTTTATTGGTGGTTACAACGTCCTTAGGTTGTCCGATAACCGGGCTAACCTAGAGACGAGGTTTTCAAAAGGTGTCCTTGGGTTGTCCGATAACCGGGCTAACCTAAGGACTTATTTACTTTGGGTTCTATGGAGTCGCCACCGATATTTTTACCATAAACATCGGAAAAGGGGTTTAAAAAGGCGTTGGTTTTCGAAAACCAACTTTGGTCATTAGAATCAGAGTTGGGTAAGGGAGTTAGTTACGTGCAAAGGGAGTATTAGTCCCTTTGCGACGCCCCTTTCGGGTTCCCTATGACAGGCTGGCTATTTGTAAATAATTAAACTTGGAAAATTGCGCTTTTACCCTTTTTTATTATGCGGAATTTGAATATGTGACTACATTGCCCTAGATTCTATTGTCGAATTTAAATAGCAGTAATTTTAAAGAATAGAGAATGAGGATATGCACCTCCAAAGCAAGCTTTATATTCAAAAAGAGGGTGCGTTTTGGCAACCCTTCACTCTACACTCTCAGAAACTCCGGAAATGCCTCGGAGGGATTCTTAAGAAGATTTAGAACGCTCAGTCTATGCCTAAAGACGCTCAGAAACTCCGGAAATGCCTCAGAGGGATTCTTAGAGAGAGAAAATCTAGAGAGAAGGGAGAGCTCTTGCTGCTTGGGGTCTGGAAATGAGGGGGAAGGAGCCCCTATTTATAGTTTTTCGCGCTGTCAGGGTCCAGACCGCCATTCTCGTCTGACAAGGTCGAGACCGCCGTCTCGGAATTCGAGACCGCCGTCTCGCTCGTGTCACGGGGTCGAGACCGCCGTCTGGAAAATCCAGACCGCCGTCTCGACTTGGCGAGAATCGAGACCGCCGTCTGGAAAACCCAGACCGCCGTCTCGTTTTTGCAGGTGACGAGACCGCCGTCTGGAAAATCGAGACGGCGGTCTCGTCCTTGCGCTGAAACGAGACGGCGGTCTGGTATTCCCAGACGGCGGTCTCATCCCTTCAGGCGAGAAACTTTATTTTTGGGCCAAAAAACCTTCCTATCTTAGTACGGGGGCCTAATAGTCTCTCCTAATGGCTTGTTAGGCTTCAGTCGTCTTCAAATAGGAAGCTTTCTGACTTTATTTGGAGGCCGGGCAAGATTTCGGGTCTACATAAGCTTACCTGCTCCATCGAATATTGGCTTTTAACTTGTTGTCCGTAGGGAAAGCATTTAAATAATATTTCTCTTCAACAAGCTTAAGACCTGTTATAGTAGCCACCTCAAGAAGGGTTGGAGTAACAGTGTCGCATGGAAGTTCCAGGGAGTTGAGATCTTTATTCCAAAGTTATGCTGTCGGAAGGAACATCGACATATCAAGATAATCGATGCCAAATCAGGAAAGGTAAAGTAAATCGAAGATGTTAATCTTCTTTCAATGAGTTTTGAACTTGGATTCTACTCTATCAAGTCATTTAAGGTATGATGGTTCTTTCTAGGGTGGCCCAGAACGATAAACTTTGGATGATTGGGAGAGGAAGTTTCTATTAAACTTCCCTTCTGATTCTTGCAAAATAGATTTTCCCTCTTCAGATAAAGGAAAATCCAAATGCTCATTAAGGTCTGGGATCCGAGGCCATCCAAAGGCATATGGTATGCCTTCTACTGAGTATAGAATGAGTACCTAGGTTGAGCATATTTTTTGTGACTCTTCTTCTAGGCCAAGGACTAGAGAAAAAGTTTTGTCATTAATCTCAACAAATTGTGTAGAAACATGATTGAAGCTAGAAATTTGGGAAGTAACTAAAGATGAAGCCATAATGCTTTAGGAAAATAAAGTTAGTGAGTTGATAGTTTAAAAGATGTAAAGGGAAGAAAGGATATTTGGAGGTCTAGAAGACAAGGGATTAAGAAGTTATGAGAAAGGAGTGTGTAGTGATAAATAAGATGAAACAAGTTAGAGTTTAAAGAGGACGAATTCTCGGGAAATCTAAATAGTAAATGGGCTTTTGTATTGGCCCATATCTGGCCATGCAATATGTTAACCTAATATGTAAGAAGATCACGATGGAGGAGATAACATTTATTACACAAATTTAGCATTTATGAAAGGAATAAGGTGTAATGATGGAAGCATGGGTCATGCAGCTTTTAGCGAATTACAACAAATGAATAGATTAAAATAGTGGAATAAGTTGTATTGTAATCCAGAGTAAGAGAAGTGTACATTCATCAAAATTCATGTTACATTCTCTTAGAGGGCATTTTGTTACTAACAAATTTGCAAATGTATCAAAAGGAATAAATCGAGAAGCATGAAAGGTTTTAACGAAAATAATGGTAATAAAAGAAGAAAATCGAAGTTATTAAGGATTGAATATCGAGACTAAAAGGGTCAATTAAGAGTAGAAAAGTTAATTTAAAGCAATGAATTAGAATGTGTGGATGAATGGTACAAGCTAAAATTAAATGCTTATAATCAAGAATTACTCAAGAATGTGTAGTATCGAAAAGAGAGATTGAGTTGAATAAATGAGGAGTCAATCGAAGGTATGAGTAGTCAATAGAACATTTAAAATTGAAGAATTAGGAAGTATTAAGTCAAAGACTACAAAATCGAGAGAAACAAGACATCGAGAAGAAGTTATATAATTGAGAGATATGTAAAAATGATTATGGTCTCATTACATGACATGTGCACCTATGGATATTACGTGCCAACAAAGTCGCTCAAGAAAATAGGAAAATAGTCATAAGAAAGTAACCTTTTATGAATTTTTTTTTTAATTATGGTATTTTATTTTACTTCACCTTAATTTTATTTTTATTTTTATTTTTAAGTGTCTTCACGATTACATAACGAAAATATAAAAATAATGAAATAAATATAAAATGAGTGATTGTCAAATTATACGAAGAAACTTGCATTCTGAAAAATACTATGAATAATGAATAAACATGTTTAATGAATTTTTTTGCAATTTGACTTATCATCTTTATTGATTTTCTTTACCGATTCATATTTTATCCTTAGCAATGAATTAAATTTATTTTTATGTAATTTAATTTTTTTTTACTTTTATCTTTTGTTACACATTTACTTCCACCATTACTTCATTACATTTTTATTATTCTCTCAATTTAATTTAAATATTATAAATTATATATAAATAATCATTAATTAAAATTTATCTTATTTTAATCATTGATTGGTATTAGTTTTATATAAATCCTTTAAAATTGAAAAATGTTGGTGTTTGCTAGTCACAGTTAAAAAAATTCACTTTATTTTAATAATTTATTATAGATTTAAATAAAAAACAATTGAATCGAACCCTAAATATAGAAACGAATAATAAAATTTTTCATGTGGGTTGATAAGAGGAAATTTTGTAGTTAGATTGTGGATAATTTGAATAAATATAGTTGTTTTAATAAAATTGAATTCGTCAACTTAACTTGTGAAACTTCGATATTAATTAGTTGATTTAATATTATTTGGCATTATTCTTAATTTAATATTTGATTTCAAGATTGATGTACAAATATATTAATAATAAGATTTTTTAAATAATTTAAATCTTAATATAGATTATTTTTTTATTTATTTTTAGATTATTACTTTAAATTTGAGTTCATTTTGTACTTATCATTTATTAATAGATAATAAAAAGTCAAAATTATTGACAAAGTGGAGGTATGATTTAGTCAAACATGATAAAGAAACAAGGAAAAGGCTTAAGATTATAATAAGAATTTTATATTTTTATCTGGGGGTATTCATAATTATTTCTTTGAAATCGGGTACTGTCGAAAATGAATTTGAACATTAATTAGTTGTTAGAAGGCATCTGTAACTCGTATAAATTACTTTTTATCTTAAAAATATAAAATATGAATTTATTATATTATATCATTTCTAAATAATTTATAATTAAATTTATTTTATTTATTTTTATAAATTATTTAATAAAATAATTATAAAAAAATTAAATAACTTATTATAGTTAGGTAAAATTTCTCTAATAAAAAATAATATTTAAAACAAGTAATGATTTAAATAACAATTTGACAAATAACTTTTATGTAAACGTGTCCAATTAGTTGAACTGCCAGTCCCTATATATTTATTTAAAAAAATTCATTTGGACAACCAATTTTACACAAATATTGATTTTAATTATAACTCTATTTTCTCTTATATATTTTATTATAATATTATTATTTATTATTTTATTATTATGGTTGGTGAAGGAGAATGATGATTGTTAAAATATCAGCACCGTATTTATTTAGAAAGAAAGCAACATACTTTAATTTTAATAAATAATAAAATTTATGAAAATAAATTAAAGTCTAATCAATATTTGAGAATAATTGAAAAAAAAAACTTGAATTTCGTGGAAGTACCCTCTTTCTAGGCTCAATTCCGCTTTAAGAAAAAAAAAAAAAAGCACGGAGGAACGCACGTGACAGTGGACGGTTGGTGAGGTTTTGTTGGGTGGAGGATTGATTGGTGAAAAGAGAGAAAGCTGAAGAGAGAAGTATGAGTAGAGATGGTAATGGCGATGTCCGAGAGTGCCTCAAGAATCTGATCCACGGCTCGACGCTGGAATGGAGCCACGCTATCTTGTGGCAACGCTTCCATAACGAGCCGGTGCTGAAGTTCGTGGAGGGCTACTACAGAGGCACGGGAAAGCAGAAAGAAATTCGTATCCTGGGATCGAGTGTTACCGTCACGGAACAAGTCATCGACGCCGAGAGTGAGTGGTTCTTTAAAATCTCCATGTCCCAGTCCATCGACCTCGAGGACTTACCTGGACACGCTTACATCTATTTGAATCCGATTTGGATCGATGGGTCCGCACTTGGGGAGTGGGGGAGGTGGGAGAGAAGCAAGTGGGGACATGATTTTGGTATTCGAACGTTTTTTTGCATTCGGTTGGAAGACGAAAGGGTGCTAGAGTTAGCCTCCACTCATATCATACTTTTCAACCCTCTAAGGATGTCACAAATCAGACAATTGATTGATCCCATAGGGACACCTTGGAGTCGGTGCAGGTAAACCCCCATTTTTTCATTCTTAGCCATTTTCAGTTCCTTAAATTATTCAAGTGTTTGCTGATTATATACTTACTCTAGTCAAATTCTTCTTCTTCCATTAAAATTCTATGATTATCAGTTTATATAAATGCTGAACGTTAGACCCTTCATCCATATTCATATCAAGAATAGTTACTCAATCAATGGCGAAGGTGGAAAGTAAAAAATATTAGAAAAAAGAAAATATGTCATAGAGAAATCATGTATCTTAATTTCCACTAATCATTTGAGGGAAAAAAAAAGTATAAAGAGCACAGATGGAGATCACTTATCTTAAAGTCTTTACAATGAATTCACAAATAATGGACTTTATTATGATCACAGTAGACCTGAAGCGTTGTATGAAAGAGGACAGATGGAGATTGAGATTGATGGGAACAAGAACTTGTCTAAACTATCCCGAGGCAAAGAGAAGATAAGTAATTCAAAGCGCCCATGGTCCTTGTTGACAGAAAGCTCTGAAAGAACATTTTCATGTTCACATGACTACTCTGGCCCCTCGTGAATTCATCATGTATAGCATAGTTTCTATTGATAACTAAAGTAAGTTAATGAATCTTGGTTTTTGGCTTTTATACTCTTGATAACAAGAATTATCAAAGAGAGGACAAATTTATCTGATGGTTAATTTTTTGTTATGAATGCCACAATGTGTCATTTGCAACTTGTTTTTTTTTATTATTATTATTGTAGAGATTCTATCGCGACCCAATTTAATCAAGCTCCGAATTTTAATTTTAGTATTAATTTTAATTTTATCTAAGTAGGTTATTTCTATCCATAGTAGAATCATTTTGAGATAAAAGTAAAAATAAAATAAAATATTTCGCATGCTAATTATGTTAGTAAGTTGGCAAATAGAATATTATTTTCATGCATAGCATATTTTAGAACAGGACATGCTATGAATTATCCCGTATATAATGTAAATGTAATGTAATATAAAGTGTGATGATAATTTTATAGATATTAAGAGAGATATTAGTTGTAATAATAGATATATTATATGAGATATTACATAATTTAAGTATAATATCTGATTTATTATATGAGATATAATGAGTAAAAAAATGCTCATCCGTTGTTAAAAATGATTGAAAATCCATTTATTATTGTGTTACCAGGTTGTCCTTCACACCTGTCTGGACTCCTCATTTTCATTTTCCTTTTGCAATTCCTCCTCAACCCTTTGTTTGGCTTCTTAATCTTGTTTTCCAACATCATTCATCAATACCATTATCTGTTATAAGACAAACATTTAAATTGTTCGCCTGTGACGTAGTGTAGTTCCTCAAAGCTCGCATGCTTATGTTTATTTATTCACAATATTTAATTAGTGTAGAAAATTTTTACTTGTCCAAATAGTATGTTTTGAAAAAAACATGGAAGATTCTTGAGACATTAGCTAGAACATTTTATACTCTATTTTACTGTTATTACCACCCCCACTTGAGCGTGAGAATAGTACTGAGGTTTTGGGGAAGGGTACTTCTCCAAAGTTTTGTAATATATTTATGATTTTGTGTAGATTTATATAATTGTATATTATTTTTATTATGATTTGGTATAATTGTAAAACATTTTAGTTTTTTAAATAACTTAATTATATATACATATTTTGCATCTTATAAATAGAGTGTATATATTCTATTTCATATAAAAAAAATGTATTTTAACTTATATTTTTCAAGTCGGTAATGGAGTGATGAGAATCCTTTGTATCTTGAATCATTTAAAACATCTAAATAGAAGAAAAGAATTTTGATATATCTAGAATGAAATTAATTCCTTTTGTTGTTCAAATTCAAGAAGTTTTCAATATTTTTTTAAAAACATGGTAGTAAGAAGAGAATACAAATGTCAAAGTGGAGAAAGAAGATCTTTACTTTCAAACAAAATGAAGAGGTATTTGTACTAAAAACAATTATGAATAATCTTAGTAAGATTGTTGATACTTTTAATTATATATGGATTATTGATATTGGAGCTACAAATCATATAACATTTTATCCTAGTTAGGTCATCAAAATTATATCATCTTCACAAAAATATATTTCTACTACAAATGGAAATAAAGTCCAAATTTTACTAGTACTTTAAATATTAATTCTTTGTTAATTGTTTCTTTTTAAATTTTAATCTTTTAACTCTTTTTCAAAAAATAAGTGGTTTATCTTGTGTGTTCATTTTTTTGTATCGTGACTCTCCTATTCTTAAAAATATCAAAACAAAACATCAATTGGTTATGATATTAAGAAAGGAAACTTATATTACCTAGATCTTTCAAAATAAATTTGATGAGTTACAACAAGCATTAACGATTTATAGCTCTAAGGGAAAAAATAAAAAAATTGGAATCTAGTTGTGGCATCGACGCCTTGGCCATGCTTCATTTAGATATTTAAAAAAATTATTTCCTACATTATTTAAAAAACATGATGCTTCTAGTTTTAATTGTGATGTTTGTGAATTAGTACAGAATCATAGAACATCATTTTCATTAATTTTAAATAAGAACTCTTAATCATTTATGATAATACATTATGATGTGTGGAGTCCATCTAAAATTCAAATTTTAGGTGAATATTGTTGGTTTGTTACTTTTATTAATGATTATAGAAGAATGACTTATTTGTACTTAATGAAATTAGAAAATGAGGTAGGTCTATTATTTTAAAAAAAAATCATAAAATGGTAAGAACTCATAACGTCAAAATTAAGGTTTTACATTGTGATAATGGTGAGGATTGTGAACTCCAATAATATACGTAGAGGCTAATAAAATTATCAATCAAACTACTTGTCCTAATACACCTCAACAAAATCTGGTTCTTAAGAGAAAAAATTGACATTTTTTAGAAGTTGGTCTTTCTTCATTGATTCATGCACACATGTCGATATGTTACGGAGGAGAAATTCTTACTTTGACATTATATTTAATAATTCAAACTCTCTTAAGTTCTATTAGTTTTAATACTCCTTTTGAAACACTCCATAATTTACGTGTCACTCCAATTGTTCCTAATTTACTCACTCATGTATTTGAATGTGTTGCATTTGTTCATCTTCATAAGCATCAATGCAACAAGTTGACTTTATGAGTCATTCGATGTATTTTTGTTAGATATGTTATATATTATATATATATATATATATATATATATATATATATAAATATAGGTGTTATCATCATCTTACTATTCATAGGTAGATAATAATGAATGTGATTTTTCATAAAGATACACTTATTTTTCCCGAGTCTGATTATTAGAGAGGAACTAATAAGAAATTTAGGAAATCTACCTTTTCATCTTTCTTTTGCTTGAATGACTTCCAGTTGCCATACTCTTTCTTTTATCTTTGGTTTATCCTTGGTATTTTATTCTTAATAAAATATAGAAAGAAATTATTACTTACGCTAATTCATATTACTTACGCTAATTCATGCAGAAAAAATATTTACCATAGAAAAAACAATCATAATAAAAAGAATAAATGAGCTATTTAAATGCAGAGCCATTATGCTAGCAACTGAGAAGCATCGGGAGGAGAGGAGGGAGAGCACAATCACATAGGAATCTGGACAATGAATGCCTCTAAAAACACTGCTGAGAGGGAAACTAAGAAAAGAGTTCCCGGAGTGGCAAGGAAGAGCTATAGACATCAGCTTGCACAAGGGGTGGGGGTCCATATGTTCATACATTTTAAAAGAGGATAAAGAACCCTTAGTTTGGGCATGTAATCAAACAAGGAAGTGTGCAAGACGATGAAGTATGGAGCATAATAAGTATACAAAGAGACAAAGAAGAACAAGAAGAAGACTATGCAATGTGGTCACTTGAAATTAAAATAGTTGAAAAAGAAGAGAGGAAAGGTTTCATATGGGTTCACTTCTTGCCACTCTTCTCATAATCTAATGGTTGAACTCTTATTTCTTTTTTCATATGCATTTGATTCCCAGGAAGAAAGGAAAGAGACTCGCGAAGAACCGTCATAGCCAAGTGGATGGAAATAGCATAAATAGAGCCAAGCCTTCTCTAAAAGAAGCAAGCGTGAGTCCCAGGAAAGCAACGTCAGAGGACCTTTGCTTGATTTGACTTCAGCCTTGATGTGCCTCCTCTTTTGTCAATATGAAATTCGAGAATAAGTAAATTAGTTGGTCAGTTACACAAAAAGGAGTAGTGAATGGTTTAGTTGCATTCACTTTTGGAGACAGAAGGGATAACTTGCTATTCCTAATACTCAGACTTCATCTCTTGCCTACAGTGGCGGATCTTCTTAGGAATTGAGGGAGTCGTAGCCAAAAGTTTTGTAACTTCCATGTAATTTATGATTTTGGTATTCCCAAACTTAATGAACATTTAATATATTTACTTGTATATTTACAATTTTATCCTCTCAACCTCTCATTAGTTTTGTAACTCTCGTATAATTTATGATTTTGTTTCCCTCAAACTTAATGATCATTTAATATATTTAAGTATATATATATATATATATATATATTTTTTTTTTTTCACTCTTTCATTTTTTTTATATTTATTTATTATTTATTAATAATATATTATTTGGTCATCCAATATCAATTATCAATATACACTATTGCTTGCCTACACTTAAAGAGAATCTTAATGCCAACAGTTAAGATTTTCTTTCTTCTGGCTTGGTAAGTAAGTTCTTTTCTTTATAGGTGAAGGTTGTTTTGATTGTAGCTAAAGTAGGCAGTGTGCCTTCTTAGTCTGCCCTTCGTTCTTTTTGAAGGATTGGAAGTCGAAGTCGTTATGTTAAATCTAGAAGTAGTCCAAGTAAATTCCGGTCATATTCGAGGTATTGGCATTTCCCTTAGCCTGTGCACCTCCTTTCGAAGCAAGTAATTGGTTTACTTATTTATTTATTTTATTTAAGTTATTCTAGAAAGAATAAGATGTTAAGAAGAGGATGCCTTGAGTTGGCCTAACCTAAATTCACTACTACAAAATATACTTTCTACGTCGTCATTTAACGTCGGTTATAGTTGAGACGACGTAGAAAGTACTTTCCACGTCGGTTCTAGATGAACCGACGTTGAAAGTTGAATAGGAAACATATTCTACGTCGGTTCTTAATCAACCGACGTAGAAAGTACTTTTTACGTCGGTTCCCATATGAACCGACGTTGAAAGTATTTTTTTTTTATTTTTTTTTTACTTATTGACACTTTCCACGTCGGTTCCCATATGAACCGACGTGGAAAGTCTTTTTTTTTATTTTTTCACCCAAAAATTCACTTAAATTTGAAAATTGTCACTGCCAGGATTTGAACCCGAGTACTTTAGAGTTGGAGGCCGATACTCCAACCACTAAACTACTGGAATTTTTTGATAATAATTTACAAATAAATTATATTTATATACAAATAAATATATATCCATGTAAATATATATTTATTTGTATATATTTTTTGGAAAGTATTTTTATTTTTTTTTCAACCAAAAATTCACTTAAGTTAATGAATTGTCATTGACGAGCATTTGAACCCAGATATTTTAGGGTTGTAAGTTAATATCCCAACCACTAAACTATTATAATTTTTTTATAATAACTTACAAATAAATTATATTGGTATTTTTTGACCGAGGGTGAAAGTGTGATTGACTCTCGCTTGAGTGAAAATATGTTAAAGCTCACGGAAATTCACTCACTCAAGTCTCGCTTGAGCGAAAATTGGTATTTTTCGCTTGAGAGCGAATAATGCGTTTCCCAAATTTATTTTATATTATTATATAAATAAAATTATAAAGATTATATTATGTCATTAAATTACAAACTCATATAATGATACCTGCTCACAAATTTAGCATCAAATTTTGAAAACCTACTCGACACACACTTTCACTTTCGAGTGTGCCCTCACATTCAACATATAAATATATAACTATATAAATATATCAAAATATATAAATATATTTGTATTTATATATTTATATATTTACACGGATATATATTTATTTGTATATAAATATAATTTATTTGTAAGTTATTATCAAAAAATTCCAGTAGTTTAGTGGTTGGAGTATCGACCTCCAACTCTAAAGTACTCGGGTTCGAATCCTGCCAGTGACAATTCTCTTAAAAAATTAAAAAACTTCTAAAAAATATAATATAAAGAGATGGAGGACCTAATAAAAATATAATATAAAGAGAGGGGAGACTTCTAAATAAATAAAGGGGGTAAAGGGGTTGTAAATAAATAAAAATTATTAATTTAAAAAATTATACTTTCAACGTCGGTTCTAATTAGAACCGACGTTGAAAGTCCGTAACTTTCAACGTCGGTTTATTAGAACCGACGTTGAAAGTTACCGACTTTCAACGTCGCCTGATACAACGTCGTTTTTTGAACCGACGTTGAAAGCCTTCCAGAACCGACGTTGAAGGCTTTATTTGTAGTAGTGATTAGGTCTTTCGTTTGATGAAGGAAAACGTAGTCTTACCACTTCAGAATGTCACTAGTGCAAAAAGGGGCTTTTACGTCACCCAATTGTCGTCGCATGTAAAAATATTCGACGTAAATAAAACGCGGTGGCAATTTTGTAAATAAGAGACAAAACTTTTACGTCGCACACCCCAGCATGCGACGTAAAAAGCCTCTTTTACGTCGCAGCTACGTGGCGCGACGTAAAAGAGACTTTTTACGTCGCGCCACGTAGGTGCGACGTAAAATAGGCTTTTTACGTCGCATGCTGGGGTGCGCGACGTAAAAAGTCTCTTTTATTTCCCTCCCAACCCTCTCTCTGGTCTCGCGCAACAAGGGTTTTTGAGAACGACGACAACAGCTACCTCTGCATACCATTTTCGATCAGTTTGACAGTGAAAAACATCACCATTGTGTGTCATTTGACGAACTTGATATTTCTCCCCGATTGGATTCGAGTTTGAAATCATTTTTCGTCTACACTCGAGGTTAGTGTTCTATGTCATTGTTATATGTTTAAATTGAATCCGTGATTGTTTTTTGGGATCTCAATCACGTTATTGTATGAATGTCTCCACTGGATTGTTATTGGAATGTAATTATTTGTTTGAGTGCATTTTCGGTTTACACACTCCATTTACGTGCTTTGTTGTTTGTATATTAATTTCTTTTTACATATAATTTTTAAATCTCTAGGAGTGACGAAACTTTATAACATAATATGAATCGAAGTTGGATGAATGCACGTCGTATTAGTGAAGAGTACGAAAAGGGAGTTGAGGAATTTTTGAAATTTGCTAGTGAAAATGGAAAAGCTATGAAAGGGACATATTATTGTCCATGTGTTCGTTGTTTGAATCAAATTCGTCATAAACTTGAGGATATACGTGATCACTTGTTTGTTTATGGTATTATTAAGAGTTATACAATATGGACATGACATGGAGAAATATTAGACATCGATCCCAACTGTGTCAACTACAGACAATTTTGATGAAGGGATGGATGATAATCTAGAGGATATGATACGTGATATTGGTGAAGAAAATTTTATGAAAGCACGTCTATATGATTCTTTGAAATCTGATTTTGCGCAACAATTGTACATAGGATGTAGTTTTACAAGATCATTAGCAACTTTAAAATTGTTTACTTTAAAAGCAAGAAATGGATGGACTGATAAAAGTTTCACCGAATTATTGGAGTTGTTGAAGGAGATGCTTCCTGAAGATAATAGATTACCTATTCGTAACTATGAGGCAAAGAAAATATTATGTCCAATGGGTTTAGAGTACAAGAAGATACATGCATGTCCTAATGATTGTATATTGTACAGAAACGATTTTGCTAAATTAAAGATGTGTTCGACATGTGGTTTGTCGAGGTTCAAAAACAAAGTTGAGGAAAGTAGTGGTGAGGAAGAACTAGATGGTCCCCCTGCTAAGGTGTTATGGTATTTGCCAATTATACCTAGGTTTAAAAGATTATTTTCCATAAAATAAGATGAAAGAAACTTGACATGGCATGCAAATGGTAGAAAATGTGACAATTTTCTTCGACATCCAGCTGATTCTCCACAATGGAAAATGATTGATGAAACCTTTCCAGAATTTGGTGCAGAGCCAAGAAACTTGAGAATTGGATTAGCTACAGATGGGATGAATCCTTATGGAAATTTAAGTAGTAAACATAGTTCATGGCCAGTTTTGTTGGTCATTTACAATTTTCCTCCTTGGTTATGCATGAAGAGAAAATATATGATGTTATCTATGATGATTTCAGGACCTCGACAACCAGGAAATGACATAGATGTATATCTTAGTCCTTTAATTGATGATTTGAAGATGTTGTGGGAAACAAGAGTGGATGTATTTGATTCATATCACGAAGTGAATTTCAGGTTGCGTGCAATGTTATTTTGTACTATAAATGAATTTCCAGCATATGGTAATTTGAGCGGTTATAGTGTGAAAGGTCATTTAGCGTGTCCTTTATGTCAAGAAGACACAAGTTATATACAATTGAAACATGGACAAAAAACTGCGTATAATAGGCATAGAAAGTTTCTAGTTGCTAATCATCCATATCGTAAAATGAAAAAAGCATTTAATGGATGTCAGGAGAATGCAGTTGCATCAGTACCACGCAATGGTGAAAAAGTATATGAGCAAGTGAAAAATATTAATATTGTGTTTGGAAAGACCCAAAAGAAATCCACTGAGAAAAACATTTGGAAGAAACAATCTATATTCTTCAATCTTCCTTATTGGTGTAAGTTGGAAGTTAGACACTGTATAGATGTGATGCATGTTGAAAAAAATGTTTGTGATAGTATAATTGGGACATTGCTTAACATAAAAGGAAAGACAAAAGATGGAATAAAAGCAAGACAAGATTTGGCAGACATGGGTATACGTTCTGAATTACATCCACAATCAGTTGGAAAACGCACTTACTTACCTCCAGCTTGTCATACTCTATCAAAGAAAGAAAAGAGAAGCTTTTGTGAGTGTTTACGTGAGGTCAAAGTGCGACAAGGATACTCCTCAAATGTTAAGAGTCTTGTGTCTATGCAAGAGTTGAAATTAGTTGGTTTAAAGTCTCATGATTGTCATGTGTTGATGCAACAACTTTTACCAGTGG